CACCCTCAACCTGCTGGGCTCCGGTGATCCTTCCGCCTCAGCCTCCCAAGTAGCCGGAATTACAGGCGTGCACTACCACGCCCGGCTGATTTTTTGATTTATGTAGAGAGGAGGTCTCGCTGCCCAGGAGGGTCTTGAACCCGTGGGCTCAGGCAATCCACTCACCTCAGCCTCCCAAAGGCGCGGAGTTACAGGCTGAGCCACCAAGCCCGGTTTAAAGTTGTGTTTCTTAAGTAAACAACTCTTGAAGTACATTAAACTCTTTTTGGAAAATTGTACACAACCCTTTCAATGAATGTTAACATACTGTTAGCTTCCAAAAGAGTATACTCCAAGTGGTAAACCTTTTTTCACTGGAAGAACCAGACACAGTCTGGAGACAAGTAAGTCGGGACAGATTCTCAAGATCATTTGGGACAACTACACTTTGATGAACAACAACTTTTACGTGAACTTCATCGAATTCTGTTATTTCTCTCTTCAGAAAATGTATGAAATATAGACTGTGTGGCCAGGCATGGTGACTCACGCCTATAATCCCAGTGCTTTGAGAGGCTGAGGTGAGAGGATTGCCTGAGCCCACGATTCAAGACCAGCCTGGGTAACTTGGTGAGACCTCATATCTACAATAAATAATAAAAATTAGCTGGGCATGGTGGCACGCACTGTAGTTCCAGCTACTTGGAAGGCTGAGGCGGAAGGATCGCCTGAGCCCAGCAGGTTGAGGCTGCAGTGGCCATGAGTGTGCCACTGCCCTCCAGCCTGGGTAACAGAGTGAGACTCGAACTCAAAAAATAAATAAATAAATAAATAAATAAATAACTTGCTAAAAAAGAAATATAGACTGTGTCAGTTTCCTCAGGGGACCTGGGAATTTAAAGACGTGTATCCTCCTTACAGATATAAAACATGTCCCCATGGGAAAAAATTAGCCAAAATAGTTATTCAATACCTCTCCTGGTATTTGCCTCTTCTTCTTCCTCTTTCTCTTCCTCTTCCTCCCTCTCCTCCTCCTCTCCTTCCATTCCCTCTCCCCCTTCCCTCCTCCTTCTCCTTCTTGTGCAGTGACACAATCACAACTCACCAAACCCTTGAGCTTTCTGGGCTCAAGTGATTCTCCCACCTCAACCTCTCGAATAACTGGGACTACAGGCACACACCACCATGCCCAGTTAATTTATGGATTTTTGTGCAGAGACGAGATCTCACTAGGTTGCTCGGGCTGGTCTCAAACTCCTGGGCTCAAGTGATCCTCCTGCCTCAGCCTTCCAAAGTGCTGGGATTACGGCACGGGTTACCATGCTCAGCTAACTCTACAGAGTTCTAAACTTCACAAATATGCTAGATTTTGAACTGTATATATTTCCTCATGCAGAGGCATCTGAGCATAGTGAAGATGAATTCTCAGAGAACGCAGTTGCCAAGCCTATGTGATGGAACTATAGGGAAAGGTGGCATCATTAATTAATCTTCAAAGAAGAATTGTCATCATTTTCAAAGAAGCTTAAAAAGCTCCACAGCGATGATGCATGAGGCCTGGCAGCTGACATGCCTCATCCCAGTAGTGTTCACCTGTGGCCTTGATCAGCAGCTAGACGTGTTCATCTCCAGGATCAGTGATGAATGAGCTGCCTGTCATTTCCACTCCTCTCGTGCCAAAGGGCGGAGGCTTCAGGTGATCACGCCAGCAGCATTGTACTGAAATGGATTCTGCTCACGGCAGCCTCAACCTCAGTCTCCCACACAGTTGGGACTACAGGTGCACACCACCATGCCTGGCTAATTTTTATTATTTTTTGTAGAGTCAAGTTCTCGCTGTCTTGAACTCCTAGGCTCAAGCAATCTTCCCATCTTGGCTTCTCAAAGTGCTGGGAATACAGGCGTGAGATACCACGCCCAGTGAGATTTTAATACTTATCAAAGAGGGGTTTAAACTAGGTTAAAGGGATAAATTGCCACAGATGAAATAAAATAGCCTGCTCGGTGGCTCAGGCTGTAATCCCGTGCCTTTGGGAGGCTGAGGTGAGTGGATTGCCTGAACCCGCGGGTTCGAGACCCGCCTGGGCAACGAGACCTCATCTCTACAATAAATCAAAAAATCAGCCGGGCGTGGTAGCACATGCCTGTAATTCCGGCTACTCGGAAGGCTGAGGCGGAAGGATTGCCAGAGCCCAGCAGGTCGAGGCTGCGGTGGCCAGGAGCGGCCACTGCACTCTAGTCTGGGTGACAGTGAGACACCAACTTAAAAACAACAACAACAACAAATGCATCAATCCAATCATCCATTTCTGAAATGTACTTTAGATAAACCCCTTGAAGTGTTCTGTTGTTGCAAATGGCTGTCTTTGCATTATTTTGTTTCTCCAAATTCCTGTAATTACCTGACTTCATTTCCGATAAGATAATTTAACAGAGTGCTTATCTCCAAGTCCTGTGTTTCTTTCTTTTTTTTTTTTTGAATTGGAGTCTCACTCTGTTGCCCAGACTGGAGTGCAGTGACTGCTCCCAGCCACCGCAGCCTCGACCTGCTGGGCTCCAGCAATCCTTCCACCTCAGCCTTCCAAGTAGCTGGAACTACAGGCGCGCACTACCACACCCGGCTAATTTTTTGATTTATTGTAGAGATGAGGTCTCACCAAATTGCCCAGGCAGGTCTCAAACCAAGATGAGGCAATTCACTCATCTTGGCCTCCCAAGGCACAGGATTACAGGCTGAGCCACCGAGCCCAGCAGATCCTGCTTTTTCAAATTTATAGAAGCTAAATGTCATGTGTTCCGGATTGTCTAGGGAGTCATACCTCGAGCATGGTGCCTGATAATCCTTTCCATTCTTTTGATTAAGGGATCAGAACTGTTACATAACTGGTGTCTTTTTCCAGTTGTTTTAGATGAAATTTACTAATGTTTCTTGGCCCTTTTGGAAGGTCCTATTTGACCTTTCAAAAAGTACCAAAATGTTCAAACTTGATGACAGATTAAAGAGAGGAGCATTATTTTTGCTTATATAAACTATTGTAGTTATAGCTTTAGAGTTTATAAAACCTCATAATGTATTTTCCCTGTACTGGTTAAAATGTGTTTTTCAATTTATATCCTAAAGCAAGTTTAGGCTATAAGCTAGAAGATAAAGGAAAAAAAGCATGATAGAACATATTTTCTTCACCTTGAAATGCTATTTTTATTTTCCTTAAAAAAAGGATAACGCAAGATGTTAGTGCCACTTTCAGTGGATGAGTGGTCCTGTGACAGATGGCTGTGATCAACCTCCACTGGTAACTGGACTTGACATTTGGTAAGATCACTTTGAATGAATTTATGAGGAAAAAGGGGAAAGGACAGAAGACTTTGCAGCTATCTAAAATTCATTTTTGGAAACAAGTTGGATATATATATATATATATATCATCCTGAGTTGGTTTCATGACTTAATCACACCCTTGAGAGTGAAGGAAATGCCCAGTGGGTCAATTCCTTAGGTCACCAGGTGCCCACAGAAAAAGAAGTCCACACACTCCCCTAGCTTGGAGCAGTGATTCCTAATTCCCAGCTCCTCCCTTAGTCCACAGCAAGTTCATCTGGAAAACATTTAGTCCTTTCTGAGGCGATCTCAAAATGAAGCCAGCCCCAGGTCCACTGTCTGCCTCTTGTTAAGATCAGATGCATGACCAACAAAGACATGCATTTTTGAGCCATATGGAAGAAATAATTGACTAAATGGGATCCTGATCACTTAAAAGAATGAACACATCTCTTAAAAGGAAAGGCATATTTTCTCATTAGGCCCAATGTTTGCATAATACTTAACGTGTCTCAAAAGCTAAATAAAGGTATTAAAATATTCCAGTGAAATGTGGCACTGTTTCTGACGTCCTATGGGATTACAATAAATTTACTTGACACAGTTTGGCTTTAAATGATCACGGTGTGTTAAGTGGAGTTAAATTAAGGAAAACACATGCAGAAATCTAAATAATAATTTATTACCTCAATGAGTACCTAAGGTAAAAATAACACTAAATTATCTAGTTTTTAATTAGTAATTATTCAACAGAAGAATGTCTTTCAAAGATTATCTTTCAAGATTCAAGGGACAAGATACCAAGATCTTTTTAATGAAACCATTCATTTAAATCTGTTCTTAAATAAATTATATTACCTTAACATTTTGGGGTATGAGATTCTCACAGTCAAAATAATTGGCTTGTTTTCCTGGGTCATATTTCAAACTCCTGTGAAAAATGAATATTTACTTGGAAGAGGGGACTTATTAAGTCATGGTGTCATCTATGCCATTGCCCAAGCTGGCACTCAGCTCATACATTTTCCATTCTTTCAGCTACGGCACTCACAATGTTTTAATAACTCTAGAAGTTTCCTGAATTATGCACCTTGAATACCTCAATGCTGTGCCTAATCTACCCGCCCAAAGATAACAGTCATGTTGAAATAGGATTTTTTTTTATGCAAAAGCCACTATATTTCAGTTTAAAACTTGAAAAAAAAAAAAAAAGTCAAAATTCTGCAGATAGTGCCCTGCTGTGGACACTCTGAAATATGTAGAGAAGAAACAATCACCTACAAACTCCAGTGTCAAGTCTTGCAATCAGATGAACATCTCACACTGTCAACTATTCCTAGCCAGCACCTCTGGGCTTAACCAGCCATCTCCAAACTTCACACTGTAGATCAAGGGTGGTCATGAGGTACATACACGCTCACCTCAAAGCAATGTCACTATTGGAAAGTAACTTAAAACATGTTAAGTGAGGGCTCTAGAGTTAACACTTCTTAGGAACAATCAATCACCTGTGCTACCGGAATCATTAATTTTTTTTCAGCAAGATATCAGAATCAAATTTCATGGGAATTCCATAAGAAATCAAACTGGACATTTCACTAAATAGAACCTCCAGAATCTGGTTGTTCTTAATGATTTCCTTGAACCCTTAAGCCAGTTAAATATTAAACAGCAAGTGCTAGACTGGTATAGATCGAGATGTCAGTGGACAAATTTCAGACCTTGTTTGCATGCATCTCCAGAAATCAGGCCAGAATGTTTATTGAATGACTCAATGCATATTAATTTAATACCTTTAATGGACAAACTCAAAATTCTATACATTTAGTAATAACACTAGTTTATCACTATCACTCGGAGCATTTAACTCACTCTGTGAAGAGATGCTTTTAGAGCTGTTTGATTTTGTCATTTTCAGATGAAAATAAAAGTGAACATCTGAAGAACATCTGTAAAGCGACAGCAGAGGACAGCCATGCTGTAGTTCATCATCTACATTAGATTCTGTGTGATGCTCCTTCTATAATGTAATATTAGCAAAAGTTGGATTTTCCTGGCGAATTTAAGGCTACTAAAAGCCTATGGCCTATTGTTCTGCTTTTCCTAACTTTCCAGGAAGACCTGGAACTAAATTTAATGCCTAATTGTATTTCCTGTGTTAGGTTTGGTGTTTTTGTAGTTATCATTTCCTTTTTTCAATGTTCTGCTTTTTATTTTTGTAGCTTAATCCTTTTAGAAATGTGTGCTATGTATTCAAGATTAATAAAGTCATTGTTTCATCCTTAATCCTCATCTTCAGTTGCTCGTGTGTGTGTGTGTGTGTGTGTGTGTGTGTGTGT